GTGGCTCACGCCTGTAATCCCAGCATTTTGGGAGGCCGAGGTGGGTGGATCACTTGAGGTCAGGAGTTCAAGACCAGCCTGGGCAACATAGTGAGACTCCCTCTCAAAAAAAAAAAGTATATTTAAAAAAAAAAAGCAGAATGCCTTTGCCATTGTTTTAGATTCACTTCAAACCTTCATCTCCCAAATCTGTTTCTCTACCATTTCTACGAAGTTTTTGTGAACATGATCTTCACTGTTCGGGAGGGAAATCTCTGAAGTCACAAAGTAGATTTTCATTTGAGAAAACAGGGACGTCACCACAAGTTATAGCACTGCCCCTGGCAGATGCCCAGGATCGTCGTTCATTTCTCTCCACTATTTCCACGGCCTTCCGCAGGGGAAGGGGCATGGCACTTAGTAGATTAGGGAAGGAGGAGCCTGACTTTGTTTTTGCCAACAGCTCGAAAACTGCGTGTGCGGAACCTACACACGGCTGGTGTGTGTGCACAGACTGCATTATCCTTGCTTGTTTATTTTTTTGGAATCTGTTATCTTTGTACCAAGGGCAAAATGAGTGTCTTTGATTTCACCTTTGAGAATAATTTCGTTGTTGATTCCACAAATGTGTGAGTGTCTTCTGTGTGCCTGGCCCTGTTGCAGGCATGCATGGCTGACAGAGCAGCAAACAGCAAAATCCCTGCTAGAGGGAGGCAGCAGAAGCTGCCGGGACCCCGTGAATGGTATGATTGCTCATGGGGCCCAGGCAGTGGCTGAGTTGGTTACAAGCATGCGCTCGGAGTCTGACTCTGGGTTCCAGCCTCAGCTCTGCCACTTGCCCTTGTAGAGTTGGGGAGGTCAGCCTCTCTGCACCTCAGTGTTTCCATCTGTGACATGGAGTGATGACCGTGCTGCCCTCGGAGTGCTGTTATGAGGTTGAAAGAAACTAATGGATATAGGAAGCGCTGACAGCAGTACCCAGCCCACTGCAGGCCGTGTTCAGTGTCTGCCATCACTGTTATGTGAGAGGCGTGGTGTTATGCCGGGGAAAGGGAGGGGGAATGCACAGACTGGCAGGAGACTAGGAACAGCAGTTCTCCCAAAGGGCCAGCCAGGGTCAACTTTGCGGAGAAGGTGGTGGTGAAGGAAGCCTGGAAGGGAGCAATGGGCTGTGCCACGTGAACCTGGCTATCCTGGGGAGCAGCCCCCCAGCAGGGTGGCCAGGGGGAAGGCCCTCCCTTTGGGGCATGTCTGGGGCATTCATGGAGTGGCCTGGTGGTCAGCGTGTCTTGGAGGAATGAGGTCAGGGCGTGGCGAGTGACTCAGCAGACCATGTGAGGACTTTGCCTGTTGCTCTGGGTGACGTGAGAGCCGGGGGAGGTGGAGGGCTGGCTCCCTCTGACGTAACTGTAATAGGACTGTGGTGGCTGCTGGTTGGAAGTAGGCCTAGGAAGGAAGCAGGGACACCAACAAGGACAAGGAGGGGATGACAGTGGTGTGGACCCCCAGTCTCCTTGGAGGAGGTGAGGAGTGGGCAGGTGTGGGCCAGAACCTGAAGGCAGAGTCCTCAGGAATTCCTGGTGGCTGGATGTGGGGCGTGAGGGGAAGGAAGCCCTAGGGATCACCTCTGGCGTGGCCTGGCCAGACCTGATGGAGCTGCCGTCGACCAGGATGGCCAAGTCCATCAGAAGAGCAGGGGTAGGGGCAGCCGGAGCTCAGTTCGGTCTATGCCAGGCCTGAGATGATGTCCCATCTCAAGATGTTTCCTGGACCTGCTGTAACTAAGTACACAAACTGAGAGCTTAAAACAACACAAATGGGCCAGGTGCAGTGGCTCATGCCTGTAATCCCAGCGCTTTGGGAGGCCACGACGAGAGGATCACTTGAGCCCAGGAGTTCAAGACTAGCCTGGGCAACATAGTGAGACCCCTTCTACAAAAAATAAAAATAAATTAGCCAGGCATGGTGGTACACGCCTGTGGTCCCAGCTACTTTGGAGGCTGAGGTGAGAGGATCCCTTGAACCCAGGAGTTTGAGGCTGTGGTGAGTCATGGTTGTACTCCAGCCTGGGCGACAGAGTGAGACACTGTCTCAAAAAAAAAAAAAAAAAAAAAAAAAACCCAGGATTGTATTATTTCACAGTTCTAGAGGCAAGAAGTCTGAAATCAAGGTGTTGGTGGGGCCATGCATCCTCTGAAACTCCAGGTGGAGCCATCCGTTCCTCTTCCAGCCCCTGGCCATGGTCCTCAGTCCTTGACGTTCTTGTGTCACTCCCATCCCTATCTCTGCTGTCACTTGGCACCCCCCTGTGTGTCTGCTTTCCGTGCATTTTCCTCTGCCCAGAAGGACGCCTGTGATACTGGATTAGAGCTCACCCCCGTGGTCCTCACCTTCACTTGATTACCTCTGTGAAGACCTTTTTTCCAAATAAAGGCACATTCACAGGTGCAGGGATTAGGACTTCAGCATCTCTTTTTGGAAAACACATCTCAACTCATAAAAGATGACTATTAGCCAGCCAGGGGGAGGTGTTGAATAGGTAGAACCCAGAGTGCATGCGCAGGCCTGGGCTGAGATGTAAGCCTGGGGATCGTCGACACGCGAATGGCATTTGAAGCCTCGAGACTCAGTGGGAACACCAAGGGTGTGAGTGGATGGATCCCAGAAGTGATTCCTGAGCTGAGCCCCGGGAAAGTTCAGCAGGTCGGGGAGATGAGAAGCACCCAACAGTGAAACTAATGTGAGGAGTCAGGGAAGGAGGAAGTCAGGAAAGTGTGGGGCCCAGGATCCAGAGTGAAGAGTGTTTCCGGGAAGAGGGAGCGAGACTGAATCAGATCCTGCCGACGGGTCATCTCAGAGGCAAACGCTGGACCCAGCTAAACTGAGGTCCTTAGCAAAATTATTCTATAATTGTTGCTAAGATAATCCTAGGCAAAAACTTGCCTATTTTGCCTTTTCTTTTCTTTTTCTTTTTTTTTGAGATAGAGTATCATTCTGTCACCCAGGCTGGAATGAGGTGGTGCGATCTAGGCTCACTGCAAGCTCCGCCT